TCCAACCCTCACAATCAGTCCTGATAACAATTATTCACTATTGCATCACAAGAGATCCATCTGTATTTCATTTCATCAGCCCTTTCTGGAAAGGCTGGATAGTATTCACTGGAGACTCTACCTTCCTCCACACCCTTTGGATCTAGGTTCCCTCTTGAAAGCTTGTATGCCAGTCACTTCTTACCTTCGTATCCCTCTCCCCATTTTGGGTAGCCAATGTCCAAGTTGCCCATTCCTGTCTACTCTTTGTGTGGAGGGGGTGGGAATAGTTCTTGCAGCAGGGATTTGTTTCCTCTTTAGAGCTACTGCATTTATAGGTGTAGGTCATGTTTATTGAATTGTATCAGATGACGCTTTTTTCCTCTTCTTTCTTCTTCAGTTTGAGTTCTGTTCATCCAGACATTGAAGCCAGGTCAAGTGGGTATCATCTACAAGTGTGGGTGTTCTTGCATCTGTCTTCCCTCTTCTTATCGGCTGGCTGCCCCGCTCTCCATTCTAGTCCTCTGTGGCTGTGTCATTAACTCTGAGGCCATGAGTCCCCAGGTCTTGCCTCGCTGCTGGCCGACCAGGTCTCCACCTGGGCTCACAGTAGTTTGCTGAACGATGTAGGGCTTAGATTGACACTTCACTGATGTTCTTCAGTAACTTCCCCTTATGGGTGACATGCATGGTCGCCAATCAAAGTGTATATTTCCCTTGGAAGTGTATAATTCTCTTGGAAGAGAATTTGCACTGAGAGGACCCGACCACTTGTCTTGATGTCTCCTGGGCCAGCAGCCTGCATGAGAAACCACTGTTTTGATTGGACCTTTTTTTTAAAAGCACTCTAGCAAGACTAATATAAGTGTTTGCAGCCATTCTGTAATCACAGAGAAATGTTTAAATAGGATTTGTTTGGCCTACATCCATGCATGTATGTACTGGAACCCAAGTTTCAAGACTTTTTGCTTAATTCTCTATGGGAGACAGTTGTGGCAATTATCTTCTGTGAAGATTTGCAGCTTTGAAAACCCTGTGGTGTAGTTCTACCCTGTCCAGTAGAATCTCTGAGTCAGAACCAACTCAGCAACAGTGAGTTTTGGGGTCTTTTATTTTATGTGTGATTGGTTGTAATTCAACTAAAATAAATTTAATAATGATTTTTATTGGTTGGATTAACTTTAGTCAAATCTTTCCTCAAATTTTGTTGTTTTCCATAGAACCACAGAGCTCTCAGGGAAAGTGTAGGATCTTTTCCTATTCTGGAATAGTAAAAACAGTTTTGGGCTAAGAGTAAAAATCAGTAACAATTACCTAAATATCAATACCAGCCTCATAATTATGTGAATCCCTAGAAGTTACATGAAGGTGAAAGATGTACCTCTTCTAATCCATTTCACCAGTAAATGTTATGACTAATGGAGTTAGTGGTGATGTGTGCACAACATTTTGAATGTAATTTAATGCCATTGAAACGTACACTTAAAAATGGCTAAAATGACAAGTTTTACTGCGGTAATTTTTAAAGTTATGACTAATAAAATTTAATTTCAGAATTATATGATATAATATGATTGTTTCTTGCACCTCAAAACAGATATTAGTCTAGGCTTGACTTTCCTTAATATTCATATAAATGGAAAATGGGTTAGGTCGATTATTTTGATCTCAAAATGGCCTCAAGGTGTGGCTGCCTGCAGTGTGAGAAGCTAATCCTCAGTTTGCTGCTGATGTTCATTAGCCCTCCCACCAGCATTACCTCAGCCACTTCACCTCTCCCAGGCAAGTCAGTGCTGGTGATTCCTTGGACACTGGAAATGCTGAGCTTGTTAACTTGAGGAGGACTAAAGACCGGGTTTTACAACAGATTGTTCAAGTGTATCTGATTTTGAGTTAATTCTCTTCTATATACAGTTGAAATTTTAAATAATCTCAAATGTAGTCAAGAATTCAAATGTCTTGGCCTATTTGATTTGCTAGCTGCCTTCTAATCACTGGTAAAGATTATACTTTGGTTAGTTATTTAATTGTACAAGAAAGAGAAGATTGTGTACTTCTTTTTCTTTCTTTTTTTTTTTTTTTTTTAATGTTTTATTATGAATTATATGCTAGCTTACATGGGAGAACATTAATTTTACATTCATTCTATCGTATATCATTTCATTGCCATGGTTACAATCCCCTCCATGCATCATTAACCAACCAAAGGGTATACCCTGCAAGCCTGCCCCCTACAGCACCACCCCGCCCCCTAGTCTTCAGCACACAGTCGCTCTTGCTCTCTGGGTCTAAAGTCCCCAGCTGCTTTATCACTCCACATCATCCTCTCTGCCTCTATCTCAGGCATCACTGCTTCTCTGGGTAGGGTCCCACTCTCGTCTCTTCTCCGTTGATGGTCCTAGGGACCTCTGCTCCTAGACTGGAAAGTTAATCACTCCCTTCCTTGCTATAAATCATATACCTTTACATTTCCAATCCTCACAGTCAGTCCTGATAATAATTATTCACTATTGTATCACAAGAGACCCGTCTGCATTTCATTTCATCAGCTCTGCCTAGACAGATTGGATACTACTCACTGGAGATTCTGCTTTCCTTCAGGCCCCCTGGCTCTAGGTTCCCTCTTGAAAGCTTGTAAGCCAGTCACTTCTTGCCTTTGTAGGCCACCTCCCCCATTTTGTGTAGCCAACAGCCAAGTTGCCCATCCCTGTCTACTCTGTGTATGGAGGGGGTGGGAATGATTCTTGCTGTAAGGATTGGTTCCCTCTTTTGAGGTACTTTTTTTAAAACCAGGAAAAAAAATATTTTTTGTTCACTTCAACCAATTTTTATATGTATTTAAATATATATGTTTATTTTGTTTGCATTTAAATTTTTGTGGAAGTACCCAGTTTAATTCCTCAGTCGTGATAGTCTGTTTGCTTTATATCCCTTTATTTCAGTTTACCAATATTGGTATTTTTCACAAATCTTTTATTATGAAAAATATCAAGCATAAGTTATGTTTTAATCATTACATCTTAATGATGGGTGGCCATTTGTGAAAATAATATGTATATCTGTATCTTGTATCCTTTGGAGTCCTGGTGTGGCACTGCAGGTTAATGCACCGGACTGCAAAGTTGTCTGAACCGCAAGGTCAGTGGTTTGATCTCACCAGTCACTCCTTGGAAACCTTATACAGGATCACTGTGGGTTGGAACCGACTCAACGGCACTTAACAACAACAGCATTGTGTACTAACAATTACTAGTGCTGACCTGATTCTGTGTAATTCTATTACTAGATGTGATCTTAGATTCTGTAAGTAATGGCTCTGAGAACAGGATCCTAATTCCAGACTCTCTCTCTCTTTCTAACAATTTGCTTGACCTCCTTGAGTGGGCACTCTGCCTGTGTTGTAAAACAAACAGAATCGCTTACCTTGTTTACTGACGGATACTGATACTGCCCAGAGAACTATAATGGTCGGACTTGGCAAAAGGGTTGTGATGCTTACAACTTTGGTCTCGTTTCAGATGAGCTTTCATTTAACAAAAGTGTCATATCCTTGGTAGAAATTTCTTGCCTCTTATTTACATTTAGTTTAGAAGTGCAGGAGAACATGTCTCCTGTGTGTTAAACACTGTGTTAGAATTTTCAAATGCACCTTTTCATTTAATTTTCAAGTCTCTAACCTGTGGAATATGTAAGATCTCATTTCCACTTTTTAGACAAAAATAGGATCAGAGATATTTAGAAACTTGTTCTTTATTGCAAACATTGTGTCAGAGCCAGGCCATAAACTCAGATTTGTATACATTTTCTAGGCTGAGCTTTGTCCTGAAAATTCATCTGAGTACTTCTGAATGTCATATACATTGAACACAAACACTGACACTTTTCCACATAACATTCCATCTCTTATCACTGATTTTGTTTTAGGATGTTGGCAAAGGATGAGTTGATGATCATACTTCAGAACTGTTTCAGTGTTTTCCAGTCCTCTTCTGGACACCAGCTTGGCAGCACAGCAAAGAGAATAGAGGAGTTCCTGGCCCAGTTCCAGAGCCTTGATGGTGAGAGTACAGTATCATGCCACTTCTTCTGGGTGGGATAGTTGTTTAACTAAAACGACAGAGATGGAGAGAGAAAGTAGTTCATGATAACAGTCCATATACCAGGCCTCAGTGTGATAGTATCCTGACAGTCACAAATCATCCAAATGTTTCTCTTCCAGATTTGATTTAAACAATAAAGAGCATCAAATGGGCAGGAAAAAACATTGCCAAGTGGGCACTCTGGAGGATTTACCTAAAAGAAAAGAAAGATTGGAAAGGACATCATAACTAAGGACTCTTTTCAGACTTTTTTTTTTTTTTTTGGTCTCTCAAGAGCTTCATCAGTGTCTTTGTAGATTTCAAAAACACTGCATAAATCATTTGTAAGCCTGAAAAATTAGTAGCTGTGAACTGCTTTCACAGCACTGAGGCTCATTGATATACCGATCACCAAAATATGCATGAGGCGTTCTCTAATTGGATTTTCAGACACTGGAATCTTTCCGTCCTAAGTGCTCTCAGGCAGCCTGACACATATCATTGTTGGAGAGCTACAGTTGTCTTTATTTAGCATGACCTCCATGTGATCATTTTTATCTGCTGAATGACCGGGGTACCTGACTGTATGTAGGTGGTCATGTTCCCTAACGCTCCAGTCTTCTTTGTTCTGTTGGTGTACTGTGAATTTATATCGGTCTTAGTGTGGTGCTATAGGATAATCATTGGACTGCTAACTACAAGGTCAGTGCTCCAAACCCACTGGTCGCTCATGGAAACGCTGTACAGGACAGCTGTGAATCAGAACAGACTCAACAGCACTTTAACAACTGCAACAGCAGTGAACTTTTCATGGGCTCTCTCTTGCACTATTTTATAGTATTCTTTTATTGGAACAAAAGTGAATGGTATGCACCTTTTCCATTTCCCATATTTAAGGAAAATTTTAATACAGTTTGAAGAAAGAGGCAGCTTGGTGTATGAGCACATAGATTGGACATAGCATAGTAGAAATATCTCACTTTTGAACACTTGAAATGTTCCTTTTAATACTTCTTTTCATTTGGCAAGTGTTCCTTATCTTGAAAATCCTTTGGATTTAGGAAAGCACTTTTGCTGAAATCCCTCCCATGTCTTTGTATGACTTCAATGCTAGGGTAACTAATAAACTCATTCAATGGATGATGAAAGAGGACATTGGCCTGACTGGAGTGGCATGACCAAGCAGAATGAGAAAGTACTTCAAGGGGACTAAGGAATTCCTTCTAAATTCTGTGTTGTTGTTCATTGCTACCAAGTAGTTACTGACTCACAGCAACCCTGTATAGGGTTTCCAAGGAGCGACTAATGAGTTTGAACCATCAACCTTGCAGTTCAAACTGACCTTGCTGTCCAGTGCATTATCCCGCAGCACCACAATAAGACTACAGTAGGCATTGCTTTTTTGCCCAGTGCAGCATGAGTTGAAATATAAAAAAATTTTATATAAATTTCATATAAAAAAATTTTAAGAGTGAGAAGTTAGTATCATAGACACTATAGGTTCCAGCTACAGACAGAAACTAAAGCCCAGGAAGCAAAAGTAACTAGTTAAAGATCCCACAAATCACCCTCTTAACCAACAGCTCATTGTTTTATGTTTCTTTTTTCTCACAGATTCACAATTTCAGTCTTCCCTAATTGTGATCACTAATTTAACGAGAGGTCACTCTTAAAAGCATAACTGTCCTACACTAGGAGGGGACAGTATGAGAGCCTCAAGTTCTTCAGAAATCATAAAACTACACCATTTACCAAATGCATATTTCTGTTCCCTTAGCAAAAGAACTATGGTATAGTTTATGTTAAGTAGATCATGTCAAAATATACATGGCATGCTCTTCATACTCAGATAGCGTTGAATTTTACAGTGTGTAGGTCTACATTATTATCTTAGCATAATCAAAGGAATATATGTTTGTTTGTTAATTAAAAAGCAGGATTGGGGACTTTTTGTTTGTTTGGGGGATTTTGTTTATTTTCACTGTGATGCTGTTGAAGTGCTGTAAGAGTCAGTTCCAACTCATAGCAACCCTGATAGGGTTTCCAAGGAGTGGCCGGTAAATTTGAGCTGCCAACCTTGTAGTCCCGTACATTATGCCACAGCGCCACACCAGGATTCCTTTCACTGTGATAAGACTTTTAAAATTCAGCAGCTGATTGTTTGAAGACCTCACTATAGCATAAATGATGTAACATTTATTGACCTTCAGCTTCTAGGAGAAATCCTCTATTTAATGGAACCTTGACACATTTTTTTTAAAAAAAGAAGAAAAAATTTTATTTATTGTGTATGAGTAGAATTGTTTTTTCTCTTGGCTTGAGTGGATTTACCCTAATTGCTATGTATTGGTTTTGTATTGAAAGCAGAAGTCAAAGAGGATGAAGATGCTTCTGGGTCACAGCCAAAGGGACTTCAGAAGACAGACCTCTATCATCTTCAGAAGGTCAGGTTACTTTCTTCTCTTTGCAACTGCATCCTGTTCCTCTCCTTTTTACCTAGAGGTTAGCTGTGCCTAGATGTTTTTGTTTTGATATTTAAAGCAGGAATCCAGCAGACTTTGTAACTCACTTATAAATTGAACATCCTGTTTATCTCAGTGCCATCCTCACTCTGCATGTATACAATCTGGAATTTACTAGCCAACACAGGTGGAAAGTGTTTCTGCAGGTGCAGGGAAAATGAACTAGAGAATTAGCTAGAGATATGAGGAAATGGAAACATGCAGAAAGTCTACCTGGTGTATATTTTCTTTTTGATCAAACTGAGTCAAAATAACTGAATTCATTAGTTTTAGATACTTACATTCTTGATCATTCTTTTATGTATATTCGTTATAGAGATGGAATTGGAGCCACAGTTTTTGTCAAATAGTACTAACTTCAAAGTTATGTTAAATGTAGTGTAAGATTTCAGTCACAGTGAAACAAACTGCCTGGAATCTATTCTGTTATTATGACAGAAAGGCAAGGATGGTTTTTCTTCTTGTAACTCCTTTTCTTATGTGAAGTAATATAGTGTGAGTGGTGAGCATTCTACCATATATATCAGACTTAAGTGAACCATTCTTATCCACTTTGCCCAAAAATTCATTTGACATGTGTTTGAAACAAAATATCTAGGAAGAGAGAGGTTCTTTCCAGACCTTAAAAATTATAAATAAGCAGAACCCAATTTGGTCTAGTTCTTTCTCTGATCATCATATCTTATGGGAAGGGCATCAAGCTACCTTGATCCCAGTAGCTGGGCTCACCTGTTAGGAGAGAAGTTTTTTGTCTCAGAATCACAGGAAAAGGTATCTTCTTTCATCCATAGTCCTTGTTGGAAATGAAGGAGTTAAGAAGAACAAGTAAGAAGCAAACCAAGTTTGAAATACTCAGAGACAAAGTTGTGAACTTCATTGACAGCCTGGTGAGGTGAGTCTGTCACTTGTAAAATCATGATTTTTTTTCCCCCAAGAAACTTTGGTGTAACAGGCTACTCATAGCCAAACTAAAACATTTCCTCTTAGGTCAGGCTTTTCTGGCTTTCTGACTCCTCCAGCGAGTAGATCATTTTGATTACTTTCCCTTCCTTATTAAAATGTCTCATTAAATGATTTAGTTCAGTCTCTTTAGTCTCAGTTCAAAAGCACAGGGTTAAATTTGATACCTAATTCATCAAGCCTGGGGAGGGGAGGATGGATGGGACAAGGGAAGAGAGCTAATATTTTCCCCCTTTCTAATAACATTAGTCCTGGTATGGCACTGCAGGTTAATGTGCTGGACTGCAAAGTCAGTTTAAACCACAAGATCAGTGATTCAAGCTCACCAGCCACTCCTCGGAAACCCTATACAGGGTCGCTATGAGTTGGAACTGACTTGGCGGCACTTAACAACAACAACATTAGAATTATTATACCTTTTCCTTGCTCTTTCTTTGCTTGGAGTAAATATGGGTTCTGGGCTAATCCCATAAAACAGTCAGAGCAGACTAACCATGGTGCCCTATTTTGTCCTGAATACAGGACTTCTAATTTTAAAAAATAGCAGTGCAACTCTATATCAGCCTTCAATTCATGTTGAGAAATGTCTCAGTAAATTACAGATCAATCCATTTTGCCTGTACTTTAAAATGATTTCTTCATGGGAATTCCAAATCCTACTGAGGATTTCTAAAAGAAAAACACAGCTTTTATATATCTTTGTAAATTCATCCACTGAAGCTACCTTTCAGGCAATTGGAATGTGTTATAGGAAAAATTTCTGAATGGTTTAAAATAAAGAAAGGTGTGCACCACGTTGCATTCTTTCATCCCACTTAGTCTGTATGCTGAACAGATAATCTGATCAGATGGATTATATGAAGAAAAACAGCATCAGGTTTGGAGGAATACTTATTATTAACTTGCAATATGCAAATGATACAGTCTTGCTTGCTGAAAGTGAAGAGGACTTAAAACATTTACTGATGAAGATCAAAGAGCACAGCCTTCAGTATGGATTACATCTCAATGTAAAGCAAACAAAAATCCTCACACTGGACCAATAGATAACATCATGATAAATGGAGAGAAGATTGAAGTTGTCAAAGATTTCATTTTGCTTGGATCTACCCACACACAGGGAAGCAGCAATCAGGAAATCAAATTACATATTTCATTAAGCAAATCTGCTGCACAAGTGCTCTTTAAAGTGTTCAAGAGCAAAGATATCAGTTTGAGGACTAAGGTTCCCAACCACTGATATGTTCAGTTGCTGCATATGCATGTGAAAGTTGGATAATGAATAAGAAGACCAAAAAAGAATCGGTACATTTGACTTATGGTGTTGGAGAAGACTATTAAAAATCCCATGGACTTCCAGAAGAACAAACAAATCTGTGTTGGAAGAAGCACAGCCAGAATGCTCCTGAGAAGCCCGGTTGGTGAGATACCGTCTCTCATACTTTGAACATCTTATCAATAGGGACCAGTCCCTGAAGAAGGACATCATACTTGATAAAGTGAAGGGTCAACAAAAAAGGAAGATACCCCCAATGAAATGGATTGACATAGTGGCAGCAGCAGTAGGCTCAAGTGTAACAGCAATTGTAAGGATAGCGCAGGACCATTAGGGTAATGTTTTATTCTGTTTGCATTGCTGTTGGTCAGAGTCAACTCAACAGCACCTTAACAACAACAGGAGAAAAGAAGAAACTATGAGATTCTTACAAAGAAAAAGATTTCATACTTGAAAAGTAAAAAGAAACTGTTGTTTGTCTTTGCTTTTTCTGTTTTCAGTGGCAGTTCAAATGCAGCAGGCTAGGCACTGAGCAGGATAAAGTACTGAAAAGAAAAAAAAAAGCTATTTGGTTATTGAAAACAACAAGTGACTTTTTGATCAAGTGTATGACCCTCCTGAAAGTGAAAGGTTCTGTTTTCCAGGACAAAGTAGGGGCAGAATCCTTGCTCCAAATCATCAAGGAGGAATAATCAATGCATGATTGTGACAAAAGGAAGGTTAAAGAGAGAGAAATGTGGTATATGTATTGCAATATTAAGCTGACCTACTAGCCAGAAGTTGGTGTGATGCTGTGGGTTAATGCACTGGACTGCAAGGTCGGTGGTTCAAGCTCAACAGTCACTCAGAAACCCTATACAGAGTCGCTATGAGTTGGAACCGACTCAACAACTAGCCAGAAGTTGCCTTTTTAGAATTCTTGGAGTTAACCTTGCCCTGTTGTCATTTCTAGTTCCAAGCTCCTGGCTCTTCCCTTTTACCAAGTTATGACCATTGTAGACTCTAAAAATAATTTTGCAGTGTAATTTGGCACATTTTTAGGTCACATGTCAGATGCTTTCTCTGTTCCTACAGATCACAGATTGTAGAGTCTGAAACCAAACCAACCATTGCCCTCATGGTCTTTGTCCTCCTATGTCTGACTTTTCTCCTTTCTGAGCAGTTAATGAAAAAATGCTGAGCCATATTGAAATGAAATGATTCTCTTTAATCTGATGTAGTATATTCTTTCTATAAATCTAGAATTATAAAATATGGTTGAGTTTATGCAATTTGTAAACTGCCAGTAGGACCTAAGCAGGGAATTGTAGGCAGACCATGTAGACAATGAAGGAGCTTCAAAAAGTTTGTGGGAAAATCCCATTTATCTTTTTTTTTTTTTTTAATTTAAGGTTTTTATTGTGGATTGAGTGAAAGTTTACAGGGCACATCATCAGTTTTACATTCCCAGATTTAACATAAAACTGAAGCTTCATTGA